TTTGATTCCCAGTCAGGGCACATGCCTGGGTTGCAGGGCTCAATATTTTGCTCTCATATAGATGTCTCCCTCTCCCTCTCCCTTCCTCTCACTCTAAAAGTCAATTTAAGAAATCTTAAGAAAAAGGAAACAGAATCTCCCTAAATTGATTTGGAAATTCAATTCATCCCACTAAAAAAGAATAAACAGGACTTATTTTTCTTTTGAAAGTCAGAACAACTGATTCTAAAGTTCGCATAAAAATTAGCAAGAATAACTTGAACAATCATAGAGCACTAAAAGGAAATTATCCCCTACAGGAATGTGAGGCATATTTTAAAGCTACAATAATTAAAACAGTGTGGTACTAGACCATGAATCAACAGTTCATTGGAACAGCCATAAAAGCCTAGAAATAGACTAGAAACAAATCAGTATAGAAAATGTGGACCATGTAATATATGATGTTGTAATAAGTGGGCAACCATTTGAAAAAAAAAAGTTGAATCCCTAGTTCATATTTTATAGCAAAATAAATCTAGGTGGACCCAAACTTTAAACATAAAACTACTAGAAGAAAAAATGGGGAACTTAAACATAATCTCAAAGAGATAAATCTTTCCACATGAGACACAGGTAGAATGCAAACAGAGAAGCCATAAAAAAATATACTGTTAATTCCACCTGTGTTTTTTTTAAAAAATCTACAAGCTCATGTAAGCTTCAGTGTCCAAGGTTTCTATTGGGAGTTCATTAGATAGGCATGATTGATTGAATTATTGACTACAGGCTGTTCCTTTTGCGTCTGGCAGGTGGGAAGAGACGATGGGTGTGAATGGGGAGGGCAACAAAGGCACACTAGAACCTGCCAGGATGAGCAGAATCCATGGGAACTGAGTGAAATTCATACCAGTTTCTGTCTCCAAACCTCCAACTTCAACAAGAGCTGTCCTGAAGAGCCTGGCACCCTTTGTCACTTAGTAAAACATGTACCTGGCCCAGGAGTCAGAATAGCTGAAGGAGGCCATCCAGCAGCAGTTGGCATTCCTGTGGGCCTCACTGTTGGCCTGTAGGCCAAGATGAACCAGCAAACAACAACGTGGGTGAACAGCAAGTGTGTGTCTTGCTTGGACATTTCAACTATAAAAAGAACCTGTACCTAGCTACTCTACTTCCCACCTTCCAAATCTCCATCAAACAGCTCTTGTGACACACACTACCCTGGAATTACAGGGAGAATTCTGAGGAACACATCTCTAGTTTATCTAAATTTGCACCAAGTAAATCCACCACAGATGGTCAGAGGTCTCTAAAGATATTTGAGCTGAGAACCTGAAGGAGGAGGATTCAGGCATGCAACCATGCCAAGATTTGGAAGAGAACATTTCAGGCAGAAAAAAGGGTAAATGCAAAGGCTCTGAGGCAGTGACATAAATGGTTAGTTTTTTAATGGTGAGGCTGGGGCATGGTGAGAGGGAGTGTACAAAACGAGATCAGAGATAGAGGCAGGGACCAGATTGTGTGGGGCCTTGCAGAACACGGTAACAAGCATGGATCATTTTTTGTAAGTTGCAATTGGAAGCAACTAGAGTTTTTAACAGGGAAATAGTTAAAAACTATATACTTTTACTGATCTGACTTTTTTTTTTTTACTCTATTGTACACTAATTCCAAACTTAAAACAAAGGCGTAAGGTTAGCACAAAGAATTCTATCATCCAGCTTTGCTTTAATGAGCAGGGCCACTTTTTCCATGACTCCAAGCCTCCTGGTATTGTGTGTCAGTGACTCCTAGAGCACAAGGTACACAGTGCCCTTCCCGTTGTGCAGGGAGAATGTCCAAGTGGGGAAGCAGCAACATTACTTAGAGAACTACTGCTAGAGTTCAGGCCAGTGAGCTCCACACTAGTTTTTTATTGTTGTTGGTATGTGCCCCTAGCGGTAACTGAACCCAGGACTCTCTGGTCCACAAGCCGACGCTCCAACCGCTGAGCCAAACCAGCCAGGGCATCCACACTAGTTTTAATCTCTCACAGAAAAAGCAGTCTCATTAATTTAGTCTCAATTCATGAATTCATGTTGAAACAAAAAATGGTTATTACCTCTTCAGATTTGGTCTCAAATCGACTATTGTATCAATTTTCAAAAACAAACAAAAAACCCTCAAAGATTTGTCACCACTAAGTTATTCAAAGAGACTGTTTCACACATAATTTGAGATTTTCAAAGAATCTCCAGAGAATATGCACAGTCTCCTAAGGGAAATATATTGAAGGGCTGTTCCTATTAATGTACAGGTTCCACACTCATTATGTTAGGCTTGGCCTTAGACTTGCATATCTTCTATTTTCACTAGACTTGGCTTACTATATTTGAGATCATGAAAAACTCTCCTAAAGCAAGCTCTTCTGCCTGGGTTATCTCTCCCTGCTAGCAATGATGTCTGGCTGAGAGCCAAGGTTCAAATATTGAAGTGTGTTGAGTACACAATTAAGTAGCAGTTAATATTATACATATCAATAAATATAAATATCTTCGGTACCTTTTTTAAAGGAAAAAACAAAATGCTTCATGTTTGTTTCTTTGTTTTAAAGGGCTCTAGAAAGACCATTCATCTTCTTACAAAAAACAACAACAAAAAAAACGTAAAAATAGATTTTAAAAAAGCATTATTTGACAGAGAAAATAAAGTTTTGCTATTTAATTGGTTTGCAGTATACACTCATCTTTCTGTAATCTGTAGTGACATATATTCATGTAAACATTCAGAGAAAGGGGAATGTAATGTCATGACTTACGGACTATACATTTGATCTCTGATTACTAAACTTTATTAATAACTATTTTATACATGAATTATTAACAATCGTTTTACTTCATTTAACAATGGCTCTTGAATAACAAAATAAATTATCAGGAAATTCAACCATAAATTAAAAAAATAAACACCTGCTGAAGTTTCATAAATGCAAGCACAGTAATGTATTTAATACATACTGATTGCAGTTTCTATGTTCTTTGTGTAAAGTAATATAAAGATTATTCCCGTCCCATTGTTGCAAGTTCACAAAATCTCTGCACAGACTTCACCATTTTTTTTTTCAGCTTAATTAACTTGCACTTCAGATGAACACAACAGACAGTAACTGGTGTTATTAGTGAGATGTGGTAAAAGAAAAGGTCAAGATCACTCAGCAGATCATGTAAACCTAAAACATACCCCAGACTTTCTAGTCTTGACCTGTAGCTCTCATTATTACGTAATTTAGAAAGAACTGTTAGAAATGCTTTATCAAGCAGGTTGAACTTTGCACTTTGCCATTTTGCTAGTCACAAACGCATATGCTCATAATGAAACAATACTACTCATTTCCAATGAGACTAGGTATGAGGGAAAAACAAAAAGGAAGCCATGAATATTTTTAAGTTGTGCTACATTATTTTAACTATTTAATTTTAAAGTTTAATTACCAGATCAGTGTACCATTTCTTTCTTATTTTTTATCCTCACTTCAGGATATGTTTACTGATTTTTTTTAGAGAGAGAAAGAAAGGGACAGAGGGAGGGAGGAAGAGAGAGAGCAAGCTAGAGAGAGAAACATCAACCAGGGATCAAACCCAAAATACTTTTTGGCACACGGGACGATGCTCCAACCGAACCACCTGGCCAGGCCAAGTGCACCATTCCTTGCTTAAAAAATGTAATACCTCTGAAAGTAGATTTAAAATTTTTTATTTTTTTAATTCTCACCTGAGGATATATTTTTTTCCTATTTATCTTCAGATAGAGTGGGAGGGAGAGAGGAGGAGAGAAAGGGAGAGAGAGAAACACTGATGTGAGAGGGACACATCGACTGGTTGCCTCTTGCACATACCTGACCAAGGCCAGGGATGAACTGCAACCGAGGTATGTGCCCTTGACTGGAATCGAATCCACGACTCATTGGTCTGCGTTGTGGGCTGATGCTCTGACCGTTGAGCCAAACCGGCCAGGGCTTAACATTTTTTGAAAATAAGCCAGAGGTAAAAATGAAAAGATCTGAACACATGACAAACAGAAACAGAATAATTTCCAATCAGCGATTAAGAATGGGAATACTCATTTTATACAGCAGGTATTAACAACCATTTAGCAATTCTTTAAACAGGCACTTGATAGTTTTTTTTTTAACTATTATACTCAATACTGGAGCATCACATACACACAAAAATATGGCTTTATTACAAAGGATTCAAGATGGCAACTACTTAGAATCCAGTGCCAATATGGATTATAACAAATCCAGTGAGTATTTTGTTTTTCAATTATTCATAGAAAATTTAATCCTGATTAAGTATCCTTGGGCAGGAATTCATGGGTAGTTGATGACTGAAACCAACATTTATGTGAAATGCTTCTGTTAATTTAATCTCTGTATATGGCTTAATTATTATTGGGGATACAATGTAAGAGAAGTGAATTATATCAGGATTAAAATTTTACTACCATATCACACAGTATTTTTTTCCCTTCTTTCTTCTTAAACACGTAAACCTGCTTTTCTCTTCACATAAATGCTCAGATTTAAAACCCTTTGTCCTTAAAATACATGTAATGTATCTAATTTTATTTTCATAAACTATCTGTCAAAAACCCTTTGCTAATCAAACTAAAACCTGAATTAGAGCCAAAGCGATAGAAGAAAATGAAGAAAAACCCCACCCACAAATAAACAAAAGCTTATTCATTTAACTATAAATATACTTTATATTTATTTTCTGAAGTAATTTTATTTTCAATTCCTTCAAACTCCAATATGAATAGGATCTTACTTAAAGCATAAAAAAAGCAGTTTTTAATCAGTGTATCACACTGATGCCATAACTGGATTAAATTTATATATATATATATATATATATATATGCAAGTAATCATTAAACTGATTACTTTGTATAAGACTATCACACCTGAGTTAACTATTGACATAAGATGAGGCATTATAAGTGGTGACTCTTACCAAAATATCATGATTCTTTTCCATCTTTATTTCCACATAGAAATTACATAAATCACCTTATAACAACACTCTTCAAAGTTTATTAAGTATTTTTCAAAACATTTCATTTATTACCTATTTCAGTTTTGGTACTGCTTAAATGCAGTGGTATAAATAATATACTCGGCTGTCTATGTTCAATTTTTCATACCAAAAGTATGAAAAAAAAGTCAGAGTATTTGGATCCTTATTGCACTCTGTTCAATCAATTCACTTTTCCTTTAAAGAAAAGCAAGTATCAGAAGTGAGGCCGATTTTTGTGTGCAGAGGATATGGTCAGTGGTAGTGTTACTGAGGAAAGTGAAGAAACTTCCCAGTACAGACTGTGGGACAGAAAGAGTCTGTATAGAATAACCATGGCAACGGACTGGCAAAGGATAACACCTATTGTAATAACCTAAAAAGAAAAGAAAGAGAATGCTTTTACTACATGCAAAAGAGAAATTCAATTCAATTTATCACAAGCCTACATATACTTTATACATACATATAGGATAGGGCAAAAGTAGCTTTACAGCTGTTCATATGGAAAATATAATACTTAATAAATACTAATATAAGAATAAACTGTTTTATACACTCACAACTATAAATCTACTTTTGCCCCACCCTGTGCGTATGTATACACACACACACACACACACACACACACACACACACTATCCTTCATCTTTCCATGAATACATTTTATCAAACACATTTTCAATAGGAAAATACGACTAATGTTCAGAACTGTAATTGTTCAAAGGTCAAATTCTTTTAACAGTTCACAGACACCAAAATAAGACACAAAAGAATAATTTGCTATGCCATTCTCTCCTACCGTGCATGCGCTACAGAAAGTAATGAGAAAAGTCAGGTTCCTGGCTAATCTAGTAATAGGAATAAAACATGCCCCTGAATCTTGAAGAGCACTCTCAAAGTCCTTTCAAAAATTCTCAAGTTGCTTCTCCATTTTTGTAGACCACCTTTCCTATTTATCTACCCTTTGTAAACACCTCAGGCTCGAGACACATTTGTGAGCTCCAGCACATACTGCACTGCTCGGAAGGGGTTCCTGGCAGAACTCCGCTCGGCAGTGATGGAGCTGTTCACTTGAGTAGGTATCAACATCACCAGAATGTGGCGCACTTGGACGTGGCACTACAGTCTGCAGTCTGCTGAAGCAACTACACTGATTTTATACCTCTATCTTGATTTTTACTATTACACATGACATAAAACATATGTCATATTTTCTTAACAAAGATGTGTTATGAATTCTCTAATTTATGAAGGGCATTATGAAATAGGCTAAAATATGAATTAAAAAGCTATTTTCCACCATTTTGCTTACAAACTAAACTTAAAATTTTGTCTTTTATATTTTAAACTTCTAAATTATATACTTACCAGTTCAGTATTTTGTTTCAAAGTTTTATTTTAAAGAACTCAAGAAGTTGCCCAGCCAGTGTGGCTCAGTGGATTGAGCATCATCCCACGGACTGAGAAGTCCCGGTTCAATTTCTGGTCAGGGCACGTGCAGGAGGCAGCTGATTGATGTCTCTCTCTCACATGGATGTTTCTATCTCTCTCTCCCTTCCTCTCTAAAAAAAAAAAAAATCAGTAAAAATATATTTTAAAAAACAAAAACAAAGAACTCAAGAAGCCTGTGAAAGGATAAACAGGACCAATAAAGATTACCAAAAACTATTTTGATCATGTGTATTACTTACCTTATCTCTTTGGTAGTCATTAAATATGATAGATATGCATGCAAGAATTGGATGGCATAAAAACCACAAGATACAGCCCTAAAACAAATGAAAAATAAGTCAAATAAGTGCAGCTATATGTTTATTTTCAGAATGTACCAGATAAAACACAGTAGCATATATAATTAAGAGGTCTTGATTGATCTCAATTGGACCTTAGGGAACTTGCAATAAAAATGTAGAAATAAATTTGCTGTTGCTGTGACATTAATATTTTGTTTCTAATCAAATGGGTATTTTCTAGCATACTAAAAAATCTTAAATCTTTTACATAAGCACATTTTGGTATATTAGTAATACATTAAGAAACAAATCAATAATTGAGAAAACCAAGAAACAAATTGTAATGTTTCTATAAAATAAATTCATATCTGCATAGACATACACACACACAAACACACAAAGAAATTCTGAAAGAGTACACAAAAGAGTGATTGATAGTGGTTACCTGTTAGAGGGTTGTTAGTACAGAAGAGGGTGGGACTGGGCACGTAAGGATGGAAAACCTTTTATTAAAAATGTTTTTTTCTTTTTCTTTTTTAGAGAGAGAGGAAGGGAGAGGGAGAGAGAGAGAGAAACATTGATGAGAGAGAACATCGACTGGCCACCTCCTGCATGCCCCCAACTGGGGATTTGGCCCACAACCTGGGCATGTGCCCTGACCAGGAATCAAACTGGAGACCTCTTGGTGCATGGGTCGACACTCGACCACTGAGCCACACTAGCCGGGCAGAATGGGAAGCCTTTTAACATTTTACTTTTCAAAGATCTCTTATCTATTTTTCCTAAAACCATGGAAAACATATTCTCTTCTCCAAAATTAAATTTGAAATTAAATAAGTTAATAAATAGTAGCTATTGCGATGCTTAGTATATTGAAGGAAAAAAGATGTAGAAAAATGTGTTGAGTATGTTATTTACATAAAAATGGAGGAAAATACATAGGAACGTATATTAAAAATTCTCAGGAAGGATAAATTAAAACAGCAGTGATTATATGAGGAGGTAATAACCAAGTAGATGGAAAAGAGGTAAGAAACATGTTTTACTAACTCTTTAAATACTTTTGAATGTTTGAATGCATTAAAAAAGTTAAATTATAACAATTTTTTTCAGTTCAAATAAAAAGTGTGATGCTGTTTTAAACATAAAGCAAAAGAAGAAATTTAGTTTCTAAACACCTTAAATACATACTCATTTTTCAAGCAATAAGCACTGCTATCCTGTAAAAAACTCTAAAGTGAAATGGCTCTTTCTTGCCTGTTTGGTACTCAGAAGCCTGAAGGGGTTTCCAGGGCTGCAGCACAACTTGAAAGTGTCTGCACTCCTCAGATTTCCGTGGACTAGGCTGGGCTCACTGACCAGCCTCTCAGAGTGCTACTTAAAGTTGCCAACCCCTGGCCGGTTTGGCTCAGCAGTTAAGAGTGTTGGCCTGAGGACCAACGGGTCTTCGGTTCTATTCCTGGTCAAGGGCACATCCTGGGTTGCAGGTTCAATCCCCTACCTGGGTCGGGGTTGTGTGGGAGGCAACTAATTGATGTGTCTCTCTCACATCGATGTTTCTCTCTTGCTCTTTCCCTTCCTCCCTCCTTCCCTTTCACTCTATCTAAAAAAAATCAATGGAAAAATATCCTCAGGTGAGGATTAACAAAATAAAAAAATAAAGTTGCCAAGATGAAGGAATATAGATTCTGTAAATCTTTCAGGAAAACATAACCTTCTAGGGAGGGAGTTTACAATGGTATTGCTCCAAATTCTCTCCTGATCTTTTACTTTATTAAATGGGTATAGAAAAAAAATAAAATTTGCTTTTAGATCTCACTACCATACAAAGGAGACAGGGTGGGAATAAAGTGAACATCTCATATGGAGGTAGTGAAATGGCTGAAACACAGTATGTACTTAGCTTCTGGGCTCCATCTGCTATGCCAATGGATAGGTCCTCACAATTTGTTTTAAAACACTGCATAATTCTAAGTAACAGTAACTAGTAATAGTCAATTAATAACTACTTTTATTTAGAAATGTATACTGTATTCTAATTTTTTAAATATTTTTAAATTCTGATACTGCAGAAAAGTGTAAAGTCCCTATTGGTAAAGAAATCATGAGCCAGACAAAATTGACCTGCCAAAAATTATATGGAAACTGTTGTTCTATGGGTTCTGTAAAATGAGGATAAGTATCATCCACATCTCAGAGTTTGTGAAGGTTAAATGAGGTGAAACATAAAGGACCTGCAGTAGTGCCTGGCACATCATAAATATTTAATAAATGTTGGCATGTGGTTGCCTATATACTTCCTAAAGAAAGCAGGACAAAGCTGATAATCGGAAGAAGCCATTTTCTAACCAAACCCATACTTTGGCGAACGTGATGTAGAATTCCCTTTTCAGTGTACTTCTCTCCACTGCAGTGATCTGGTAGAGTCCGTAGCCTAATGACAGTGCTAGGCAAATTCTTAAAATGATTAGAAGGATCCCTGCTAAGTTGTGGTGTGAATAGTAGCTGTGAGGACTGGTCTCTTCAAACTGTTCCCAAAGTAGTAAAATACTCTGCAAAAAACAATACATTTAGAGAAAGAAAAATCATACCTGCTTATGATATAGTACTTTTTCAGCTCTTTTAAACATCCCTTTAAACATATCAACACTCCTAAGACTTATCAGACTGTAAAGTTGTCATTTAATAAAGCACAGGTAGTCTTTTCCTTGCAGATACTCTAAGCTAGAGAAAATGCATTATCAAATGAGACCACATATAAAAGAGAAAAAAAATGCTATTGCTACCATGACTCAAGTAAGCCATCTATAAGGATGGAAATAAGTTGAAAAGATTAAGAGAATAAATATAAACTTTTCTCTAAATCCATCTTTTTCTTACTTCAACACCTTATTAGAAATCAAACTGTTCTGCATTCAATCCTATCTCAGGATAACTTTCAAATATCTCAATATTTTTTGTAATACAGAAATTAACAGGTCAGAATTGCTGATTTCAGATTTTATTCTTTTTCCATGGTAACCTCCTAGGTAAAGGAGAGTATATTTTAATATTCACTATAAGCACCAAGGGCAGTTTCTTATCCTTATTTGTTTCTTTTTCTCCCATACTGTTACTGTAACAGTAAAAATGGCAGCAAGTTCCTCATCAAGCTGTTCTGTTTATTGCTATTAGTCCATATGCCCTCCATCTTTACTAAATATCAATCACTTAAATCAATTACTATAATGTTTTTACTGCCATTAAATCAGTAGCCCTCTGTGCTTCTTTCATTTGCCAACCCAGACTTTAGAATTGGGTCTTCAGTGGTTTCCAAAGAATTCAGATACAAACTCAAATATTCATTCCAATTATTATAGGGGTAGACCAGCAACCTCTTCCTTTTCTCATTATCAAATCTTCTACCCTAATTTTACTCCTGCTACCATTCTTGATAGGTGAACTCCACTGTCATCTGGCACACATGAATTTCCTTTTTGGACTAAATATTTGCTCGGTATTACTGAAAATGTTACTCCTCCACTCCACCAAATGATAGCCTTCTGATTTCTTAACCTACATTTCTAAACTTAACTTTTACAACAAAAAAGTGCTATTATAGAATTACCATTTTCTGCTATCTATGTGAGGTGATAAATGTTTGTGATCATTTCACAATGTATAGCAAAACATCAAGTTGTATACCTTAAATATATACAATCTCTACTTGTCAATTATACCCCAATAAAGCAAAAAAATCCCTATCAATTCCCATGACTCACATTTTTACAATTCGAATTCCCATCTTTTCATATACATATGCGAATACATAACCTATGGAATATATGGATGTATTCATGTACTCTCTGGTTGCCTGTACCATCGCCTCTGAATTGTTGTTGAGTACCAGGGCCATGTCTAACGTATTCTTCACAAGTGCTCACATATAGTCTAGGGTAGTGTCATAATCTCAATTCTTAATTTGTATTTGTCCATTAGAAGCAATTTAAATTACAATGAAACAATAAAAATTCAATTTTTAAAAAATCTATTGAGAAATGAGAATTTAACCTATTAATACTATTCTCCACAAATCCTGAATCAAAAACATTAAGTTGGTAGAATCTTGCCCTTATTTTAATCACTTGTAATTCAGTTTTCTCATTAGCCCAACCTTCCTAGCATTATCTCCTTTCTAAATATCACTATCTGAAATATAGTCTCTTTCTAAAATCAATCATTTATGTAATACACCCACCTCACTCAGCATCTATTGTACTTACTAAACACTAGAGATACAGAGAAGAATAAAGCACAGATCTTACCATTCATTCAAATTTTGCAACTTATTTAGTGCATTAAAACTTAGATGATGATGTCCTTTACAGAGCCCAGGTATGTATTTCATTTTCATCTATAGCCAATGATGGTTACAAACTCAGTATAAATTTTTATGTTTATACCTTTCTTAATTTTTAAAACAAATTTTTTTTCTTTATTGATTTTAGAGAGAGAGGAAGGGAGAGATAGAAACATTGATTGGCTGCCTTCTGCATGCCCCACTGGGGATTGGGCCCACAACCTGGGCATGTGCCTTTACCAGGAATCGAACTGGCAAGTACTTGGTGCTGGGGTCGATGCTCAACCACTGAGCAACATCAGCCGGACAACCTTTCTTAATTTTTATAAATCTATTGCAATAGGCACATGGAGATCCTAGAATAATGTCTGTACTATTGCATAGAGGATCTTTCTAAAAGACCAAATTTGTTTTTGTAATTGTTTTCAAGAACAAGATTCCATTCTTTTTTAATTCTATATTCTGCTTTTTCATTAATCTCAGATATTCACTTGAATTACTTCGTGTATAAAATAGCAAAACTGAATCTAAAGATCCTTGCCAATGAATAATCTCAAATTTACTGATTCATTCACTTAATGTTGAATACTTACTACGTGTTAGAAAATAAGAATCTAACCTAACATTAAACATATATTGTGCTTGAATAAGCTGATAGGAAACTGAAATTCAGGTAAATTACAATTAAATTCAGCATTAAGAAGATTAACAGGTTATTTGATCTATCACTCTTTCAATTCACACTTTAAAATGACACAAATCACTCATGGGCCCCCATTTTCAATTTTGAAAAGAGATATGTTTAAATTTGCATTTCTAAATACTGAAAAGCAGAAACCCTGAATGTCAGTCACCTGTGTTATGACAATGAACACAGCAATGCCAGTGGATGCAGGAGTGGAATCCCACTGGAGAGGTCTGCTCTGAGACTTCTTCATTCTGACTATCGTCCAGCCCATGCACAGACTCAGAAGTAGGTACAACATTTGAATTTGGGAAGCGATGTCAAAAACTAATGGGAAATAAAAATCAAAGTCAACCAAGTTTTCATAATACAAAAAAATGTGGTCCCTTTTTAATTGAGAATATAATTAATCTTTAATCACAAAATGATGGGCATTTTCAAAGAGAACTAATGAAATGTCATGACAGATATTCAAAGAAGTAAAATTTTGCCATTAAATTTGTAAACATTTATGGGAATAATTAAAACAATGGCAATACCCTATTTTAATATATATATACATATATAGGCATGCCTGTAACACATCTTGATTAAGATAAACCTTAAATCTTTGTGTTTCCCATTTTTCTTAGCTTATCTAACTACATAGTCCTGCTCTCTATATTTTACTGCTTATTAAAAGAAACAAATTTTAAATATAATTTCTGCCATCTAAAGAATAGCGGTGCCTTCATTTTCCAGTTGCTATTTTTTTTTTATGGCTGAACTACAATGTAAAGAGCATTTTCTAAAACTATTAATAGAAAATAGTATGACAATAAAACGTGTAGCTGCAGTAATATCCAATTACGTTGGTTTTGGTGTCAGTCCTGAAGACAAATAAAATAATACTCCACGCATTAGTGTGATGTGCCACCAGGTGGCCATCACTTACACTGCAGGGGAAGCAAGCTACTTTAAAAAGGATGCGACAAAACCTCCCGAATCCAGTTCAGTGCTACAAGAAAACAATAGCAATCTATAAACACTTCACAATCCATGCATATTTATTTTAAAAGACAGTATTTATTGATTTTAAAAAGTATCACTTTCTCATCATAGTGTATTTTATTTTATTTTATTTATTTATTTATTTTTTTTTATCCTCACCCGAGGATATTTTTCCATTTTTTTGTACAGATAGAGTGGGAGGGAGAGAGAGGAAGGGAGAGAGAGACAGAAACATCGACGTGAAGGGACACATCGAGTGGCTGCCACCCGCACGACCAACCAGGGCCGGGGACAAACTGCAACCGAAGTACATGCCCTTAGCGGGAACCGAACCCGGGTCTCTCCGGACCGCAGGCCGATGCTCTAACCGCTGAGCCAAACCGGCCAGGGCATCATAGTGTATTTTAACATGGATTTTAGAACATGTGATCACAATTTAACAAAATAAAACTCTTTTAAATTGCCATCCCTAACTTTAAGATCTACTTTTTTTTTGGTACATGCCCCTAGTGGGAACTGAACCCAGGTCTCTCTGGTCTGCGGGCCAACGCCCTAACCGCTGAGCCAAACTGGCCAGGGAAAGACTTTTACTTTTTAACCTACAGTGAAGATGCCAGACAGACTAATAGATTATTTTGTATATAGCAGACACAAAAATTCAAGTCTTGAGTTTTGTAATAGCTTTGCCTTGATGGGTTTTTATATATTTTGCCTCTTTCGGCCTCAATTTCCTCATCTAAAATGCATAAGCTAAATTATATCTAAGATCTGTCCAGTTTTAAAATATTCTATGATTCTATTAAACATTCTGAGTCATCTAAGAGCAAAGAGTGGGAGAAACCAGGACTCTAGATAAAATTAAAAAGGAGATGCAACTCTTGTTCATGCCCAAGAGGGGAACAGTACACATTCTCTTCACAAGGAAAATGAAAGGTTCTAGAAGTTTTAGAATCTTAAAATAGGCAGTAAGGTCAGGATAAGTGGGTCTGAGATGATTACCAAAAGATACCCACCCTGTTAGAGTGATGAAACTAGAAGAGAAGTATGGAAATATAAAGAAAACTAAACTCTAGAATGGTTTCATATTCAGAATCTGCTTTTTAGAGCAAATCATAACTAGTTTTTCAGGACCAAGAAAGGCATATGACCTGCTATATGAAGTTCTCTTTAAAAAGACATGATAATAGAAACTTCTAAGCATTTTTCCCATCATGTTTAACTAAAAAATTACTTCATAAGAGTTATCTTAAAAATAAAAAAAATAAAAACCCAAAGCTGTGAGGTCAGCTCAGTTATAGGTACTCACTATGGCTCTGGGTTAGAATAGAGGAAAGAGAGTAAAAAAAGGGAGGGAGCTAAAAATAGGAAAAAACCCTTCAACTTGGGGTAAGAAGCCTGGGTCTGAGTCTTGGCTCTCCCCCATAATAGCTGCCTGACATTTGGAAATATGCTTCATGCCACCGAGCCCTGAATCTTTATCTGCAAAACAGGGACAAGCAAACCTATACTTCACTGAGGTTTTACTGAGGATAAAATAGAAGAACGCATATAAATATGCTCTAAAACCGCCAGTTTGGCTCAGCGGTTAGAGCATCGGCCTGCGGTCCGGAGAGACCCGGGTTCGGTTCCCGCTAAGGGCATGTACCTCGGTTGCAGTTTGTCCCCGGCCCTGGTTGGTCGTGCGGGTGGCAGCCACTCGATGTGTCCCTTCACGTCGATGTTTCTGTCTCTCTCTCCCTTCCTCTCTCTCCCTCCCACTCTATCTGTACAAAAAATGGAAAAATATCCTCGGGTGAGGACAAAAAAAAAAAAAATGCTCTAAAACCAATGGAGAGCTACACACATTACCTGTTATTAAGAAGAAACTCAACAGGCTGTATGGGAACTAAAACTGTAACCCTGTTTTCAATCATGCTAAATTCTAACCAACCTTGGATAGAAAAACTGTATTAGGACAAAAACAATTTACGAAAAAGAAAAACAAACAAGAAGATAGCAATTTTATGTTTTTTAAAAAGGCTCAGAAAGATACTCACATTCTGCCAAACTTCCCATAAAAGGTACTCCTATTCCATCTTTGGAGTAACTGAGAAATTGAAGAGGAGAGTAGCAGTGTAAATTACAAATGTGAAAAAAATTGTTTATAATCAAATCAAGCATAATTTTGGTGGACTAATTAGGATTAATTAGACGTAATGATGAACACAGTTTTAGTGGTTGTGAGTTACCTGGAGAAATGAATGTAATTAGCTAAAGCTGAACCAGCTTGTAACAGCAATGCAGTTGTCAGAACCTTTAAAATCATGTGCATGGGTCCTCCTTTATTAATAGCCTGCCACAATGATTGAGCATAAATGCAAGCAATCACAAAGTACACTAGGACTAGGAGGAAAAAGAACTCATGTAACCCTGTGAAGAGAAGAAAGGAGTGTGCTTCAGTAAAACAAGCCATTTATAGTAGGGGGTTGCTTTCAAATATTCCTGTCAATATATTTCTAGAACTTGCTTTTTAACTGAAGTCATAGCATTCACTTTTGTGAGAGAGAAAAAAAAAGAAATCATTGAAATTTAAAAATTTTATACTTCTGGATAGTTTTAACCATAAGAAGGCAGATTTTAATAGATTAACTAAAGTTAATCTATTAAAAACCATAGTGGTCAAGGAATACGCCCGAAGACTACCCACAAGATTATAATTTTGTTCAAAAACAGTAAATTAAAACAATGATTTCAGCATTGTTAGATATACTTTTTACCCCAAAGTAGATTTCTTTTGTAAGACACTTAGAAACAAATTTAGTCAGTCAATATTAGTAAAATATACCTTGACAACAGGTCTCAAAGTGTGATCCTTGGGCCAGCAGCAGCAGCAGCAGCATTACTAGGGAACTTGGTAGAAATGAAAATTCCTGAGCCTCATTGCAGATCTACTAAATCAAAATCTCTGGGCACGGCGCCCAGCAATCTGTGTTCTAATAAACCCTTCAGGTGATTCTGGTTGCTGCTAAAGCCCGAGAACCACAGCTCTGGCACAGCTCTGGAATGTATCGTTACCTTAGATTTACATTTGGACAAAGCTTCAAAATACCTGTCGTGACCAGAGCCTCCTTCTGAAGTAAACTGTCTTCAGCTCTTGTCAAAGAGGAAATCCTACAGTGACCATGTGACTCCACTCCACAGTTAACTTAAACTGTAACACCTGACTAAATGGCTACCAATCCAAAGACTAGCCATTGGCCCAAAAAAAGCATAACCTGGTTCTCAAAAATAAGTTAGGCTAATCATATTCTCTTGGGAAATCAAACCACAAAACATTTAAAGGATTAGGCAATAGAAATTGAAGTTTTTAGGGCTAATATTGGGATAGGCCAAGGAGTCAGCCCAGGCCATGATAAAATAAAAATTCTGAGTACACTGAAATTTTGAATGAGCAAAGGGGTCAAGACAAGAACAAAATAATTATGCAGATTTCATATTAAAAATAGTGCCAGTTATTAACCGGTCTCTAGTTCCGACTAGCGGCTTTTCAGTAGTCTTCTTGCATCCTCAAGATAAACTCCACCTCCACCCCTCTTTTTCTGCACTCTCTGGAATATTTTGACTGTGTCTTCATTTTTCAGAAATTTCAGAACATTTTTATAATAAACCAGAAGGTTAACTTTAAGGTTAATGGCTTACATGTATTGGTTACATCTAAAGCTAGTCTTTAATAGCAGGGCTTTTATATTCTATCTAAATAACACCAGAGTACAGCGACGGTGGCTCTGAATAGAGCTATCTCTACTGAACCTGTGGATGAACAGTCTAAATTGCAGTCACTTCCTTTCCAGTTGTGAACACTGAACCTGCTCTAATTTCTCATTTGTGGTCAACTCCAACCAATAGGCAGAGAAGGGAATATTTCCATTATATGGAAAATAATTTTAGAAAAGCAATCTAGATACTAATAGAACAAATAATTAATAAACAATTCAATCACAATCATGTTTTTGACATGATTAGGAGAAAAAAGAAAGAGATATAGGAAGTATTTCAACCACTGGGTGTCTCTCCTGCTCTATGTATATAAATGTCAATAGTCCACTCTCTAGTCCAGGTGAAAAGACATATTTAGTCTTCAGGAAGAGAAGATCAATTAAAAGAAAACACATATTTTATTATAAAGTTCCCTACACAGAAAAAGTATTCCAACTTTAGAAATAATGGGACAATAAACCTGGGATTGTTACAGTAATGGAACAAGATAGAAAATATGCTGAATATATTATGTCAGTAAAATTCTTCTTGCTAGCTTGAATTTTAAATCCTGATTTTTATCTTTCCTTTTTAGTATAAAAAATTAAACATGGCATTCTATTTAAAGTTTTATTTATTTATAATCCTTTACAGAATATCCATTATAAGGTAAAGTCTTAGACTCCATTAGGTTACAAGTCTACCATGAAAAGAAAATCACCAGATGATTTACTGAGTAATCAAAATAATATAGAAGAAGATGGAACTTTTGAAAACAAGACATGTTACCAGCAAAAAAAAATGTTTTCGGATTATTCAAGATTAAGCGTATCTTCTAGAAAAAGCTAACATTATAACCAACAAATTATTCCTTTGAGATAATATATTAAATAATGTTGAACTAGGTCATTTGTCCTATACTTTGCTCTTTAAATTTTGCATGAATTATTGTTACCATGACCATGTCCACAGGACACGTTAAATATAAAACATGGGTCTGCATTCACTGCTCATTTAAATAAATCACCTCTAGAAAAAGTATTTTTTTCTCTTTGGCTATCAACTTTACTTTTGTTTGGCCACCATCCTTCACAAGAAAGCAATCTATGTTCACTTTGAAATTAAAATCTAATTTTAAAACAGATGGATACCAGGTATTAAATTTTACTTACACACAAAAGAAGAAAAATACTCTTAAATGAGCATGGAACAAGTGACAGTCTTAAGTTATTAGGAAATATATGGATTTTAAGGCAAGCTTTACGGGAAGCATGGGCAAAATTCAGTAGTAAGAAAACTTACAGAACAGCTTCAAAAAATTCAGCTCCAGTTAAATGATAGAAGATGGGAGAAAAGAGGGTAAGAAAAGGGGAGAGAGCCACTGGGTCATGGGAAGCACCTGGAACACTCTTGCCTACCCATAGTGCTTGCTGTCTTGGCGCCTCAATGTCCATACCACCCTCATGTGTCTCAAAATATATGCTAATTAGCCTAACCAATCAGAGAAACTCTAATACCCTTGCCAATAAGAGGTAAGCCTAACCCTTTACTTTGACACACTGGTAAACCCCTATTTTCTTTCTGACACCTTCATTTACATTTCCCTTATGATGATGTATAACAAAAGTGTGTGACCCAGTTCTGGCCAGTGAAATGTGATGAGGGAGCCTCGGGGAAAGGTTTCCTTGCTTTCAAAAAACAGTTACTGAATTCTGCCATTAATCATCCCTCAGTATCCAAAGGGCATTGGTTCCAGGACCCACTGTGGACATCGAAATCCACTGATGCTCAGTCCCTTATATAAAACAGCATACTAACAAGTGTGAGGTGAACAATCTCAGACAATTGCTGGAGAGAGACTAAGGATCACTGACGATGGCCAGACGCTACAGCAGGGTAAGCCTATACATCACTTCATTTGTGTGGGGCGTGGAGGGGTTCAGTACAGTGCTTGGCACACAAGGAGGCAAATTCAAGTTTTGTTTTTTGGAACTTTCTGAGATTACTTTTTAAATATTTTCAATCTGTGTTTGAACCCACATACAGAGGGCCAACTGCATCTAGATGTGCTGCCCAGAACTGTGGCTGTGAACTGTGAACATGAAAGAGCTAGCCTAACGACAACGCTGACAGTCACAGCACAGCAGGGTAGAAATGTGCTCAATAAAGCACCCTGAAGAACCCCTGGAAATGCTTCTTATGTGAGATAACTAATTTCCTTATCCTCTATACCATTTGCGTTAGCGTTTTCTGTTACTTTAAGCTAAAAAATGACAACATATTATCTGCAACATGTTAGTTACCAGAATTAAATGGAAGACCCAACTCATAATCTGTTGGGATAGTAGAGGAACAAAGGGACAAGAGAAAAGAATGAACTTATCTGGAATCTTAAAAACAGTGAAATGGCAGATGTGACAAAGCCTTTAATATTAATTCCAGTGAAAACTAATTTGCTTTAGATGATAATGCTATAACCCTCAGAATGCTGGATACTACTTCTTTTGGTCTCTAACAAGAACACAAATACAGTTAACCAAGATTCTAATTTTTTTCAAGAAGCAGTTTTAGTTTATTCTACCTTAAAGCATGATATTCCTATGTAGTATTTTGTCAAGCAAACTTGTCCTAGTTTTATTTGTTTTTTAAATCTAGACCAAGTCTGTAAAACACAAGATAAACAAAGTCTGGCAGATATAAAATACATAATGATTAAAAAAATTATAAAATTTAACCAAAATAACATGTAATATTAATTGCAGTTCTTTGCACCAGGTTATTCTAATTCAAACCTCTCAGGTATATGGTTTAACAGTCAATGTTCAATAAAAAGCATAGCAAATCAATTTTTCCTACTCAGGGTAGAAAATGAGACAAATGACTAAAAGTTGTTAAAACGAACTAACTGGGATGTATTCCTTGGAAACAAATTGCATACCTAAGCCTCCATAGTAGGAAAAATCCCCCTTAAGGCTCTACTTTACACCATCACGTTACCAAAACAATGTGGAATACTTATTTTAGCATTTCACTTTGTTATTATATAGATGCATTTTTTTCAGACCAAATTATATTTTCTTAAAAGTTGATCTCTTCATACTTTAAGTTACTTTTGACCTGTTGTCCATAACACATGTTCCTGGAGTTCCTTATCTATCTGTGGCAATTTATATTTTGAACTAAACAATCAGTTTTGTATAATGTAGCCTCAATTCCTGCCCTACACCTCTACTCACCCATCTTGATGGCCAATGAGATGTAATGGATTAGATTTTCCTCTAAGCAGACTGACTCTTCCAAATGAGTAATGTACTCATGAATCCCTTTTCTTTGACAGATCGTCTACAGATCTTAGTTTTCATCCTGACACGTTAATTTACAAATCTATTAGGATACTTTATGGCATGTCTTTCATGAGTCAAAGGAAGTCATTCATTTATATTTGGGCTCAGCATCTCACTTCAGTAGTACCATACATAACCAACCTAAAATTTTGATGAAAAATTTAATGGGAGCAAACCTAATTTTGGGAGACATTGTAAATTTTGATCACTCTTAAAATGGTTGCAAAGCTCCAATAAAGACAATACTTAAATCTGCTCAGGCAACCTGTTAAAAGGATAACCTTACAAAGTAGCACAGTTTCTAATCTCTATCATAGAGTTTCCAATTTAGATTACTCAATTTATTAATATTTACCTATTTATAAAAATAATGCTAGTTATCATTTTTAAAAAACTTAGAATATATGAGAAAATAAAACAATCCAAATTTATACCACCCAACATATGGTAATAATCTGTCAATACTCTCGTACTTCTGTTTATGTTCTGCATTTTTTAACACTTCAAATCATACAATATAAAATTTAGTGTTCTCCTTTTTTAACTTAATTGTATAGCTATTACAATGCTATAAGATGATTCATTTAGTAATTTCTCTACTGTTAGACATGTAAGTTTTTAATGTTTAATATTCTAAACCCATGAAAAAATTTGTGCACAAATTGTTTTACATATTTAGGTCATATATTTAAATGTATATTCTTACCAGATTCTCCAGCACTAAAATGATCTAGTGGATTCCCTTCAGCATCTGGGTTTAGTAACATCATTTCAAATGGAATATCTTCCACCTGTGAATTCTCATTATCACCTATGCATGTATATTTGTCTGCATAAAACACGTTCCATGTTTGTGGATACGGATTCTGGGACACTGTCAGATTATGCTCAGTCTGATTCATGGTCACTTTAAAGAGAAAGAAGAAAGCACTGTCAACGCAAAATTCTCAGATGTATTCATTGTTTTAATCATACAATCATTTTGAGGTTAGAATTCTCTTGTATAATTCTCATAACCTTAGAAATTCAAACCCTCTTGTAGTATTGGCATATGGTCTTATATCATAAAGCAGAAAAATAGAATGTATCTTAACCAAAGGAATCACTATAAAAGTACTATGAAACACCACAAATGAGTAGAATGGTTTCATTAAAACTTTGATTTTTAATTTTAAATATTCTCAAATGTTTCAAGTGAGTTAGTAACATTAAAATAATTTTTAATTAAATGTATTAGGGTGACATTTGTTAAGATTATATATATAGATTTCAAGCGTACATTTTTATGATACATGATCTGTATAGTACATTGTGGTAAAATATACAAAACACAAAAGTTAACATTTTAACAATTTTTAAGTGTATAGTTTTGTGGTATTAAGTACATTTACAATGCTGTGTAACTATTACAATGACATTTCTGAAAACTATTTTTTTGAGTTAAATTTAAAATGGAGCATTCAACTTAGAAAATTGTATCTAATAATTATGACTGACAAATACCTTCAGAAGATTTTCCAAAATATTTTCCTAACTGGTAATACTCAAAATAATTTTTTTTAATCCTCACCCAAGGATATGTTTTCATTGATATTTTAGAGAGAAAGGAAGGGAGAGAGAAAGAGAGAGAGAAAACAAAAAGAGAGTGAGACATCAATATGAGAGATAAATATAGATTGGTTGCCTCTCGTATGTGCCCTAATTGGAGACCAAACCCGCAAACTTTTGGTGTATAGGCCGATGCTCCAACCAACTGAGCCACCCAGCCAGGGCTCTACTTGGTAATTTTTTTTTAAAGTACTAAAAGTAGAAATATAGAAATTATAAGAATTATTATACTGGGTCTGGTCTATATAGTGGCAGAAGAGAAAGGACTCCAATGTTGGCACCACACAAAGCTGTACTTGAATCCTGGCTCCAGTACCCCCCTTCTATGTAACACTGGGAAAATTATAAGCAATGACACTCACTCTCTTCAGCTGTAAAATGAAGATAATACTTAGAGCAAAGAGCTGATGCAAGAACTGTTATATGAATCACTTTGCATGGTTATCTCTCATATAGTAATTGCTGAATAAAGGCTAATTCTCCTTTTCCTTTCTTTAAAACAAAGTGGTTACACTAATAAGTGGTTCTCAATCCAAGGTAATCCTGTTCCCTTCCAGGGCATCTGAAAATATGTAGGGACAGTTTTATTGTTACAGTCGTTGAGAAGATACTTGGAGGGGGCTGTGCTAAGCCTCATGCAATCCAAGGTAAAGTCTCACAAAAAAGACCTGTTCCTCCCAAAATGCCAATAGTATACCGTTGGAGAAACACTAAATGATATCTAAGATCCCTTCTCTATGTAAAACTATGATTCTGACCTAAGAGGCATTTGCTAATACTATCATAAAGTTATACGAGTGTAGTGTCTCAAGCACTATGTGTAATAAAAAGAATAGAGGAGTTAAAAGAGCAAGTCTCTGCCCTATTACTTAACAACATTATGACTCAGCCAATAAATTACTTAACCTCTCTAAATTTGTTTTTCAGTAGTAAAACTAAGATGCCTGCTCTTTGCTAACTCAGATTCTTGTGAGAAGCAAATGAGACAGTATATGAAAATCCTATGTAAAGAGTGATTCTGTACAAAGTCTAGTATTCTTAAAATATAAGATTATAATGGACCAGATTCCCAACTCTACACTGCCTGCACAGCATGCTGACTAGTTTGAATCTTGTTCTTGATTGAAAGAAAAAACTTTAAAAAAATTTTTTTAATTCTCACCCGAGGATATATTTCCATTGATTTTCCGATAGCGTGAGAGGGAGGGAGAGAAAGAGAGAGGGGGAGGAAGAAAGATGAGAGAGAGCAACATTGATGTGAGAAAGACACATCAATTGGTTGCCTCCCATATGACTCCAACCAGAGCCGGGGATCTAACGGAAACCAAGGTATGTGCTCTTGACCGGAATCAAACCCTTGACTCTGGTCTGTGGGCTGACACTCTAACCGCTGAGCCAAACTGGCCAGGGCAAAAGAAAAAACTTTTTAATAAATAAAAGACATGTCTTTAGGTAATTGAGGAAATTTACATATGGAAGAGATTTGAGAGGATATTATGAAATGATTCACTTAAAAAAATTCTTAGGTGTAATACAGTATTGTGGTTAAGGAGAAGAATGTCCTTACTCTTATACAATGTAGGCTGAAATATGGTGGGTCGAACTGCTCATGACAACCACGCCTTATTTTTATATGGCTCGATTAAAAAAAAAAATCACACACATACAAACACAAAGCAAATGTAACAAAATATTAACAATTACTGAATCTAAGCCAAGGATGTACAAATGTTGGTTGTACTACACTTGCAACTTTTCTGATTGAAAATTTTCCTAATAAAAAACAGGGGAAATGTAATTTATAGGTTGTCCTTATAAATGAGATACTGATGTATCTAGTTAGGATTCAAATTTTGAGGACTTGGACTTACAGTTGGGAATTTCATTAATAGCAGTTAAAATGGACAAGATGATTTTATCAACAATACTACAGCATTGTCTTTTTGGTGATCTAAATTTAGCTGACATTTATACTGTTGTTTTTTTTTTAACTGTACAGCTACTAAAAAAATTAACAAAGACTCTAATTTCTGTTAAATATTTGAAGACCTTTAGTAAGAATTCAATATATAATTAATACATGGCTCAGAAATAAGGTTTTTGAAACGTGCAGCTGGCAGTTACATAATTTGGACTCATTATGAAAAGGCTCTGCTATATTGCTATTCTACCATGTGTACTTTTCTTAGATAAAACAATATAAAAATTAACCATTATATTTTCACCAATACACTTTTTAATGTTTCACTAGGTTATGTGGATTTACATCGTATTAAAACAAGAGTGTGCTTCATAAAGTGTTATTGCCTTAACTTTTTGTCTTGCTGCCTTTTTCAGCAAGCTTGGGAAACAAGATTCCTGACAAAACTATGTGTTCATTGTTTTTAAGACAAAAGACTACAGCACAGCACACGTATTCTATGCTGATGTAATTAGTACCTCAAATATTAACAAAACTTGAATTACAGAGAATAACGTTGCATGGGTAACTGCTCAATCATATTATAAAAATAAATGAATACTGTTAACAAAAATACATGAAATAATAATATACTCACACCTTTAAAGGACTTATAAACATGCCAACTATACAAAAGGAAATATATGCACATGATATACTAAAGACATTATTGAATATGTTTTATATATAAAATTGTATTTAGCTCTTCTAGGCTGACAGTAAATTACTCTTAATCTCCTTGTTAATTTTTTTCACATAAACTTATTTTCAGTGTTTCTAAATGTCTTGTCTACTTGATTTAAAAACCTACAAGATATTTTATTATTATTTTTAAAGCTGATGTTTTATGACAATACTGAAAGAGAATAAAGGAATACTGAAAAATAATTTCTCAAACATTCATTTCAGAGAATGTATACTCACAAGCCACATTTGACATTAGGGGATTTTTTAAATCTGCTAGTCTTTTTATAGTACATAGCAGCAGTAAAGTTTTACATAGACATTAGGCATAGTTAATGAACTCATTACCAAGTAGGTGAAAGGCTATTAATTCTTAAAGTCTCATTAATGGCCAGAAAATAAAAATTATTTCTACAAGGAATTATTTTAAAATGTGGTACTACTATACTGTCATGAATTAAGGATATGCTTTTTGTTTCAGTGCACCAAAGCTCTTAGATAACAACACACTATGAATATGACAACTAATACATAAAAATTAAGAGAATATAGATTTGCTTAAGATTTGGCTTTTGTTATTAGAAAAAGAATTGATGAACTAAGTTGAAAGTGATTTACGTCTCACCAGTACTTAATTTATTTCAGGACCCAAAATTTAACAAAACAATCTTCTTCCTCAAAAATTCCTGTTTCCTGAGATCTCTGTTCCAGTAATTTGAAAGAATACCCTCGCACTCAAGAGAGCAGGAAGGAGAAGGGGAAAATAAAAAAAGAAACAACAGCAAGAGGTTTTATAAGTTACAGGCCTAAATATATGCAACTCCGTCCTAAAGAATTAAAATTAGAATCACAGCATTTTAGCACTGTCAGAAACCTCAGAGAAAACTAGTCCAGCTTCCTTGTTGCACAGATAAGTAAAGTGTGGCTAGAAGACAACAAGATTTTGTAAATCACTAGCAGTGATTCTCAGTTCAGTGGTCTTTCTACTGTACCACAGTCTCTCTGTATACCTAAGTTCTGTGATTGAAGGCCTATTATGACTGATACAAAAAAATTATGATTTTGCAAGTATGTATATATATTGACCATGTGATATAAAAAAAAAATTCTTCCTATAGCTCACAGCTTTTTTATTGGAGAAAGAAAAAGGCTTTTAAGTGTCAAATACAAAGCAAACAATCTACCAACCAAAAAACCCCTCAAGCACTGAGTTTTATAATTCACCCTACAAATACTTAGTACTAGAGTATCCTAAATTCTCATTCTCATAGTAGCACATAACTAACATTCATAATATTTATCACAGTTGCAATTTCACATTTACATTGATGTGATTCATTCTTGCCATACCCACTAGCCTTACAGACTGAGATAGTGTTAGTATTTTGGTCCATGATTTATCACTAATGCCTAGCATAATACATGAAGTAACAGAAGTACTCATGAATGAATGAATGAACAGACCAAAAAAAGCCCTGGCCGGCCCTGGCCAGTTTGGCTCAGCGGTTGAGAGTTGGTATGTAGACCAGAGAGTCCCGGGTTCGGTTCCCGCTAGGGGCACGTACCACAAAAAAAACAACAAAAAAACAAAAAAGCCCTGGCTGGTTTGGCTCAGCGGTTGGAGCATCAGCTCGCGGTCTGGAGAGACCCGGGTTCGGTTCCCACTAAGGGCACATACCTTGGTTGCAGTTTGTCCCTGGCCCTGGTTGGGGTTGTGTGGGTGGCGACCACTCGATGTGTCTCTCTCACATTGATGTTTCTCTCTCTCCCTCTTCCTCCCTCTCTCCCTCTCACTCTATGAATGCAAAAAGTGTCCTCAGGTGAGGATTAAAAAGAAATAGACCAAAAAAAGCTCTGGTGCTCCTATTGATTGATTTTATAGCAAATAAATAAAATGCAAAGTGGTAACTATAGTAAGCACTGTGTGTGTGTGTGGGGGGGGGGGGATAAAAGGCTATAAAACTCAAGTGTTAACTTAGAGGAGGGAGGAGCCAAAGAGGGGAAGGGGGAAGGAGAAGAGGAAAAGCCTGTGCAAAGGCCCAGGATAGCACTAAAATAAAACAAATAAAGTGAGGCAGGAAGGGACAGTACTGGAGAAGAAGTGTGTGTGTGTGTGTGTGTATGTGTGTGTGTCGGGGGGGAGTTACTGCAGGTAAGCAATGGCCAGACGATGACAGCTTTGCTGATCAGGTTAAGGTGGCCTGTCTTTGTCCTGAAACAGTATTTAAGACTGTGGTGAGGAAGTGAATGTGACATGATGAAATATGCTGTTCAGAAAGATTACTCTGATCAGCATGGCTGCAGTGGCCAGGTAGGAGGTAATAGTACAGGCAAGAGATTATGGCAATCTGGAATAACATGGTAGAAGTAGAGATGAAGAAAATTATGTGCATTCAAAAGATAGTTAGAGGTCAAAGAGGGGAATGTTGGAAGACTCCTTGGTTTCCAGCTTGTTTCTGAGATAGACAGTAGTGCCAGTTCCTAAAACTGGGAACACTGGAAGAGGACCAGGTTTGGATGGGCAAGAACTTTTTACACACATGGGGAACACTTAGATGAACCAAATTGTGTATAAAGAAAAGGATAACTGATAGTGAGCACTTGCATGAATTTCTCAGGTAAGTTCTGAAATTCAGGGTTCAGGTATCTAACTTTATATAACTGTCTCTCCTTTAGTCATTCAGACTTCTTCAGCACACTCTCAATGTCAGCTCACAAATCTAAATAAGCCCAGCCAGTGTGGCTCAGTGGACTGAGTGTTGTCCCATGGACTGAGAGGTCCAGGTTCAATTCCCAGTCAGGGCACATGCCCAGGTTCTGGGCTCAGTGCCAGGTAGGGGGCCTGCAGGAGGCAGCCAACCCATGTTTCTTTCTCACATCGATATTTCTCTCTTTCCCTTCCTCTCCCTCCAAAAAAAATTAGTAGAAACATATTAAATAAAATATTTATCCCCACAATGGGTGGCAAGGACTGGGAACTTCTACTCTTATCCCTTTTCAGGCTTGCTGCCTTCTGAGGGAACCGGAGAGCTGCTAAGGCAAGGAAGACTGGGTGTGTAGAAATGGCAGTGTTTTACTTGACTAGACTAAAAGAAGATTCAGAGACTCGTCAACATGCAGAACATGACAGGGAAAATATAGGGGATAAAAGGGGAGAGGGATAATTCCCATTTTTTCCTCATGGACGCTTCATATTCCTGATGAAATGGGTAGCATGGCGCATGCTTGTCATTTCTATACTAAAAAGATCTGTACTCACTCTGGATGGCTAACATCCTAATGCACGAGATAGTGTTGATGAGAATGGAACAGCTAAAGAATACAGGCAACTAGAATAAAAGCAGTGCCTCTCTAGAGGCAAACCTAAAGGTTTATAAATGATGTGGTGCTGGTACATCACAAAATGACACACTGTGTCACCATATGACTAGGTCCAATGTTCCAATAACCTGTCGCAAAACAGCATCACTTGGGCTAAATTATACAATTAACTGAGTAAATATGGTTAGTGCTTAGCTAGTATTCAACAAATGTTATAACCCACTCCGCTGCCACTGGGTCAAAATATATCTGCCATATTGGCACGAAGTATGTGACCTATAAGAAGTCTGAGTGAAGGAAAAAGTATGCCCTTATAAATTATTTGGATATATTTTCAAAATTTTTGAATGATAAAGGGGGAAAAGGCATTCTATCTTTTTTTAATATATGTTTACTGATTTTAGAGAGAGAGAAATGGAGAAGGAAAGAGAAAATAACATCGATGTGAGAGAGAAATATTGATTGGTTGCCTCCCACATGTGCCCAAACCTGGGACTCAACCTGCAACCTGGGTATGTGTAATGACAGTGAATCAAACCACCAAACTTCCGGTGCATTGGACAATGCTCAAACAACAGAGCCACACCAGCTAGGGCAGCATTCTATCATCTAATCGAGGAAAAGGTCAGGTTCCCTTAAACTTGAGTTTAGAACGTACTAGACAGTGTGTCATCACAGTGTGATATATGCTGTGTCATGAAACATCTTGGTATGCAAACACCACATTTAACATTAAGATGAAAAAAAAACCATACCTAATAATCAAATTAAAAGAATATACTCACTTGTCAACTGAGCTTTGGATAATTTTTCACTACAACTATAACCATGGCTGATGTCCTGCAGCTTTAGCCATTCCTGGGCTTGGAATAGGTGGAGTTTAGCTTCTTTTCCAACAGCTACTGCTATGTTGTTGATTCTGACACATAGAAGAGCATGATCACCTGGACAGTAAAACAAAAATTATCAACTAGTTTGGTCTTGTACACAAGCAAGATGGTAGGACAATTTAACAGCTCTCTTTATCAAAGTAGCAATTTAAAGAACACAATTTTTCTTAAATCTCACTTAATTAGGTAGGTCACATTAGAATGAACATCAATTCAGATGCAAGTCAAGAAATTATAAGCTTTAATTATCCAAATCAATGTGTGGTATTTCCTTATACTTCAGCTAACTGATGACATTTCACTGAGTAAACAGCAACATCTGCTGCATGTGGACCTTCACTGTAATAGAATTTTACCTCATTTTACAACCATTCCACATGTCTTTAACATCTGCTCAAAAACTATATAGAAATTCCTAAGTTTCTTTTGTTTTTTAATACAACATGACTTTATTTTGAGCTATACTTTTAATATAAAAAATAAGCATAGCTAATAGCAAGGTTTAAATAAATGAGTTTTGGGGTGGACAGTTTTTATACTTGACACAAAATTTGACATTTGACTTTTACAGTAGAACTTTCAGAATATGTTGTAAGACTGCTAAAGAATGAGCCTAGTTGCACACACCAACTACATTTAAGGCCTAAAAAAATAATTGCCTCTGTGGAAATGGACTTTGGATGAGAAGTAAAGCAGGAGACTGTTTTTTCATTTTAAAATTCTCTTACTGTTTTTGTCTGTTTGTTTTCCTCACCAAAGGATATTTTTTCCATTGATTTTTAGAGTGGGAAGGGGGCGGGGGGAGAGAGAGAGAGAGAAACATCAATGTGAGAGAGATAAATAGATTGGAGCCTCCTAAACACACCCCAATCAGGGCGGGGATTGAACCTGCAACTCAGTACATGTGCTTGACTGGGAATCAAACAAACCCATGACCCTTTGGCATGTGGGCCAGTGCTCTAACCAGTGAGCAACACTGGCTAGGGCTTTCTTATTGTTTTTATTATTTATAATTATCACTTTGATTAAACATTAAATAAATTTAAATGTATAGTATGTATCAAAGAATGTGTAAGTCTCCTATATAAACTGATTACATTATAAATGACCAAAAGTTAAAAATTACTTTAAGGCGCTATTAACATCTTAAATTACCTTCTGAATTAGAGTTCATTATTTCAGTAGAGTTGTAGTATTATTTTACTGAATTTGAATCAATGAAAATTGCGATTACACACACACACACACACAGAGTTAAAATACTTAGATCACTCTATTCCCCAAGCTTTCTTGAGAAATCTGGATTTACTACATGTTTCTCCTGTTTACCAGGTCATCGCCATGACTATCTAAGTCTTCCTTCTAGACATGGGTAATAACCTATGTCACAGTTTCCACACATCCCACCCAGACCTTCCAGCACTGTCCAGATTAAGCAATTTATTGTAGTGATATTGCTATCACTGTCAATACTCAAAGTATAGTTGCAGCCAGTTGATTAAGAAACTTAAAACGTTACCTAATAAATAATAAAACTGTTTCTAGAATTTCTGTTTTATTCACCCAAGATCTATTTCACACTAGATTTTGGAAAACTGGGTTGTGCTTCTTCTCAGCTATTTTTAAAATACTGGATTAAAAAAATTCAGATTCCCTTCCTTTTAACTACCAATTCCGTAATTTTTCAATACTTTAAATTGCTCTCCCACACCATAAAGCTGCTCATTTCTAATATCTTCTCCTAAGAATACTCTCTAGGATAATATTCTGATCTTTTAAGGCTAAATACCGTGTAAATCAAGGATCCTAAACTTATCAATGCAAATAATTATTTGAAATATAGTAGTCAAATTAAGCGTACCATGAGTGAGTACCAAGAAAAATTTTGCAGGTACAAATAAACACAGTAAAAATTAGAATGAATTGTAAATTCATTCATTGAAGAATTATTGATTTTTTAAAGAGATCAGAAGGCAAGAGTCAAATGCAGTTCTGATTTCAGAAGGGCCAAAGAGGATACTAATTATGAAGCTTCCAGGACACATTTACATGCATTTCTGTCAAGTTAATTCTAGGATGATCCACAGTCAATCTTCAACTTTAGTAGCAGGGTAAACTGTTCTAGCAACAGTGACAACCAGATTACCAGGTGTTTTATTTGGTTTCCAAAACCTCTTTGTTGCAAGCAGTTTTTACCGAATTGATCTTATCACAACAAACCCAAGAAATCTATGTTCTGGGGCTTAAACACACGTAATTACAGTGCCTTAATGTATACAATCAGGTTGAGACAGAAGCGAGGAACTGATGCTTCTTTGGGGGAAGGATCTCGAAAAATGCAGCATGCGTGTCATCTGTACGTTGGTATGGGGAGAGCTGGAGAAAGTATCTTTTAGGTGCGGAATACAATCACCAAGCGAGGAGGGGATGCTGACGAGGGTGCAGGGAGCAGCAACAGTAGGGTTTGCAATAAACGCATCCCACGATTCCGCTGAGCTGCGGGGAGAGGAGGGCTGCCGGCGACGCTGGAAGTGCAGGTGAGGTGGATGAAGTTCCCGGCCTGGCTGCGGGCTCCAGGTCTCCCCACGGAAGACCCGGGGCGCGGCCCGCGGGATGAGTCCACTCGCCGTCATCCCTCTCCCCGCCCCCCGCACCTACCGTGGAACTCGAAGTGGCCGATGCTCTGGCCCTGCGCCTCTCGGGCCGCGGCGCTGCTAAAGCTGCCCCGCAGCGTCTTACCCTGGCTGCCAGGCGGCCACCAGCAGCAGGTGAAGGCCACTGCCAGCAGGCGCAGCACCCCCATCCCCACCTGCCGTTTGGCACCCACACCGCCGCCCCTAACTACCAGAGGTTACTAGTCCCACGTCGGCAGCGGGGAAAGGAGGAGGAAGAAACGGGACCGGCGCCGCTGACCGGCCCGGGAGACTGACAGCCAATGAGGAGCGAGCCTCTTCCACGGGCTAGGGACATCCACCAATCAGAGGCTGAAATGGGCGGAACGGGCAGAAGCGTGCGTCCCATCATTTCCCAGCCTGTTGGCTAGTTCCCGCCTTTTTTTATGGAGAATTAGGAGGGTGTTGCTTCAGGTTACGGAAAAATTATTGCCCTCGATGTCCAATGCGCATGCGTGCGAGCGCGGGTACGGGCCCGAGGCTTGCCCGAGGCTTTCCCGAGGCCTGTGGGATTCGGAAATAACTAACAAACACGCCACGGCACCATTTCTGGTGAAGAGAGGAAAACTCGCAAAGCCCTAGGTACCTATGCTGCCTGTTGGACGTTTCCACTCTAATGCCTCAAAGATACTTAACTATACATGTCAAATCTATTTTTTTCCTCCTAGGTTCCCTATCTTCTTGAATTACGTCATCCTCCAGCAGGCCAGACAGCTGGGAATTATAGTGACCCCCCACCCCCACCCCTTACACGCCTCTTCTGGGCAGTGATGGTAGGAAGCAGCAGCCACAGTCCTCTCCAGGCCATCCTAGTGTCTTACTTGGCCTTCTTACTTGGCCTATGGCAACTGACCTGCCTTAGTCTTAATTTTCTCCAGTTGACTACACATAGCCCATCTCTAGTGTCACAGAAAGTTGTGGGAAATGCAATTTTTTGTTGTTAATGTTCACTGCAGGATTTTTTTTTTTTTTTTTTGAGAGAGAGCGGTAGGGAAGGGGGGAGAGGGAGAGGGAGAGAGAAAGAAACACAGATGTGTCCTGTTTGGTTGCCTATTGGTTGCCTCCCATACATGCCCCAACCAGGACTGGGGATGAACCTGCAACCTAGGTACCATGCCCTTGACCTTGAATCAACTCTCAACCCTTCCGTGGTGCAAGGGCCAGTGCTCTAACCACTGAGCCAGGCTGGCAAAATGCAATTTGCCTGCATCACTTTCCTTCAAAAGTTCTCAATTGCTTTTAGTGCACAACCTCACTCTTTAGAATATGGTTTTTGAGTCTCAAATTTCCATCTCTTGACTTTTTTTTTTTATATATATATTTTGTTCAGATAGAGTGGGAGAGAGAGAGAGAGAGAAACATCCACGTGAAGGGACACATCAAGTGGTTGCCATCCTCACGACCCAACCAGGGCTGGGGATAAACTGCAACCGAGGCACGTGCCCTTAGCGGGAACCGAACCCGGGTCTCTGTGGACCGCAGGCCGATGCTCCAACCGCTGAGCCAAACCGGCCAGGGCCATCCCCGTTCTTACAAACCACTGGTTGGCTGAACACTCCAAGTTCTCCCTTCTGGGCCTTCAGCACTTACTGATCCCTCTGGCTGGAATACCTGACTTATTCTACTACTCAATTTCCACATCACCTTCCTTTTTCTACTTTCTTCCAAGGCTCTTTTAGAAGCTTTTTCAACCCCCTAAGTCTGCGTTAGATGTCCCTGGAACATGAATCCCTACTTCCCCACCCAGGAACTTACCACAAGGTATTGTAAATGTTTATTGATTTATCTTAATCCACTACTATAATGTAAGCTCCAGATGGTCAAGGACTATGTCTCCATGAGAGTAGAAGTTTAAAATTGTTTCATGAATAAATGTATATAAATTATTTTCACTCAACATCCAGCTTTATTACATAAGAGCAAGTTCTCACAATGCACCTTACCTTTGAAAAAGAAACCTCAGGGGAACACTTCCTATCATATAGCCAGCATTCTCTGGTATCTCTGGCAGACCAGGAATAAACTGGAGGTATTACTATTGTAATATTTGTTAAAATTACATTATATTTTAATTATAAAATTCATGCAGCTTAGAAAAAAACACAGTAAAAATTATGAAGTAAAAATGTAAGTCCTCATTATCTCTCTTCCTTGCCCACAGCTGATACCCAAAGGTAACCCTTGTTGATAGCTTAGGGTGGATACTTTCAGACATGCGTTTGCAAATATATGTGGTATTTGCAAACTAAGAACAGGAATAAAACTAGTCCTGAAAAAAAGAATCAGAATATGAATCTTGAATTCTGTGAGGCCTCTTTTTCAGTCTCTTGTCTTTCTTCTCTTTGTTATCAACTTTGTTTTTCCCTTACTGAAGACAGTCTTTTCTATTCCTCAGTTCGTTTGAATGAAAATGGCCAAGAGCAAGTCCAAAATTTGTAGGTCCTCAGAGTTTAAGAAGAGCAACCAGACTATCCAAGAACCTTAGTCCAATTCCATATCAGTTGGTCTAGGGTGAGTCAGATGCCCATCCTGGGGCCTGCTTGGAGTGGGTCAAATTGGGGAGATGATTAAGCATAGGGGAGTCCAGTCATATAAAACCCTAAGTATCCACTACAGTAAATTTGGTCCCCATTCCATGTTGGTATATTCTTTTAAAAGCTATATATCAGCCCATTGAATTTTAAAATTGCAACAGTATTAGTAGACATTTATATTGTGTCTAGTTTTTCATTACTACAAGCAATATAGCAATGAACATACTTGTATATTCCTGCAATTGCCTATATTATACATCATGGAATTTGGGGATTGTAGGATATATGCATTTGAATTTTCCCACCAAAATGTTGTAACAAATGACACCTCTACCTATACTGGGTATTCCCATTCTTTTTAAGCTCTGCCAACACATTGTTTAAAAAACCACAAGATTTTTTATTCACCTATTTAACAATATTTACTGACAGTTTATTCTGTGCCAGGCTGGGCCCTAGGGCTTTGGGATTGTATCAGGAAACAAAGCCCCTACCCTGATGGAGCAGAGACAATGAGCAAATTCAACATAAATGTTGATCACTGTTATGGAGAAAAATAAAGGGTAAAATGGTTCACCAGGGCTGGGGTAGTTTGCTATTTTAATTGGGGTGGTCAGTGAAGGAGTTTCTAATAGGGTAACACTCAAGCTGAGAATTGAAGAAGTGAGGGTAAATACTAGACAGACATCTGGGAAACAGCATCCAGGCCTAAGGGAAGTAGCATGCCAGGTGAATTCAGGGAACTCAAAGAGGACAGTAGGGCAGAGTACAAAAAGATCTTAGGGTAGGATCTAGAAAACATCTTTACCATGATCGCAAGCGGCTTGCGCTGTCTGTAATAGTAATATTCACAGGAAGAGTTTATTTTGCTATTCCAACCTCCTATCTCTATACTTGGCCAGATAACTCCTGGGAGTTCTCAACTCAACTGGTACGTAATCTGTGGAGATCACTGTTGTACAAGGATGAAGATAAAGCAATCATTCATAACTTCGACCATCTGTGTATCTAAGTAAAGCCTTATTCACGCTGGTGACACTCGCCTGGAAACGTTTCAGACCCGCCTTTCCCAGACACCCCTAATCGCTCCTAACAAGCCAGGAGTCCTTGTAGAATAGCTGCGCTTGCGCAGTGGCGCTGCGGAGCTTGCGCACTCGAGGGTTCCGCCCAGCCTTCCAGTGGGCGGGGAAATCAACTAGGCTCCGGAAGCCGCCGTTGCCTGCCCCCAAAAACGTGTCAGGGGAACGAGGGGCGTCGTAAAAGGTCGCGGTGGAGCTCCCCTAAGGTATAGAGACCTGGCCCTTTACGGTGCCAGCCACGGCAGAGCTGGGAGATGTCGGCTGCGGGCCGGATTGATCCCTTGGATCCTCCCAGCAGCTTTGCGAAGCGGGTCCTGGTGACCGGGGGTGCTGGTTTCATGTAGGTAACGGTGTCGCTGGCCGAGTACTGGCTTCCCAGAAATCCCAGTCTTTTATTGCGGCTCTGCTTGCGCTTGGCAGCTTGGGACCAGCTTTGGGTGTCTGATAAGGGGAAGGTCTTAATGCACGACCGGGATCTTCCTTCCTTCTTCCCCCTCCTGCCTGCGAAGACCTGGTTCCTTTGAAACTGCGGCTTCTTTAAATTGCTTTCCTCCCTAAGCAAAGGTGGTAGGTACTATCCGCCCTCCTACTTGGCTTGAGATGCACTGGCACTCTTCTGAATGCGCCCATAATTGCAGTAAGCATCTCACCAGCTGCTTCTACCCTCCTGACCCCCCCCCCCCACACACACACACACAGTTCTTGTACATATAGACACCAAAGAAATGTGTAGTATGACAGGGCACTTATATTTATTCCTCTTTTTTTCAGAGAAGCATTACCTGACCACCCTATCTAAAATACTCCTCTCCCTACTAACACACATCACTACCTGAAATTGTATTACTGTATTGTGTTTACTTATTTATTGCTTGCATCCCCACTTTTGAATGTAAACTTAATGAGGGCAGAAACTATTGTTCTGTCAGCACCTGAAGAATGTCTGGCTCATTTTGTAAAGGCCTTAATTGCTGAATGGATGAATGCAAACATACAAACAAGGAACTTTCCCAGTATTTAGTGGAAGAAGAGGAACATGGGACTCTTTCTTCCACCCCCAAGCCCATTAGCATGTTAAATGTCTTCTGATCTGAAAGTGTCTTGGAGAAGGGGACCAGGCAGGCAAGGTTCACTTAATGAAAACAGAAGTGTGGACATAAAAAGATAGTGCTGGTCCAGGAGGGATACTTGTAGAAAATGCTATGAAAAGGGCTGTCAAGTACAAACTCTGAGTTCATAATTTGGTCAAGGTCTGCCCTTGTGTGTATGATAAAATTTGGTGGATTATCTAACTGAGATATGCCTCTGGGTCCACTTCAGGGTCCTCTGAAACCCAGGAGCTACTGTGGATATCTAACTCCGTGATAGTTTCAGCTAGCCTTGGAAACCTAGGTTTAGTCAAGGACCCTCCCCCGCTGATTTATACCATCAAATTCTTGTACCAAGAGATAGCAATTGCAGTATGATTACTATAAACACAGACAACTCCTATGCTCATACTAACTTAATTTTTACATAGTTATACCTACAGTCTCTGAAAAGGCTCATTATAGTCCTTTTTCACTGACCACTAACCATTGTATTTATTATCATCCTGCTTTACTCCCAAACTCAAAGCATGCATGGACAGATCATTTGGTTAACCTAATTTTTTCTATTACTCAGGACCTTTTCCATAGTGTAAAGACTTTGTATATTGATACTGTCTGTATGGTTAGTGAAAAGAGTGGGTGTGTGTATATTCAGTGTAGTTATATTTCTTGCAAAAATGTGAAGGTATCTTTGAATAGTTTCTTAATACTTGATGGCTTAGGATAACATTTAAGAATTTATAGAAAAGTTTAAATTTTCTACTAACAAGATATGCTTTTTTCTTATAGTGCATCACATGTGATTGTCTCTTTAGTAAAAGATTATCCAAACTATATGATCATAAATCTAGACAAGGTGAGTTTTTTAAAAATGAGCTTCATTTCCTGTACTAAAACTTATTTATATTTTTTAAAAGTATTAGAATCCTGTCATGCTGATATCTTAGTTTTTTATTTAGTCATTTTAACAACTTGGGGGCCTACAGTCATGTGTTCATGCTATATTTAATCTTACAAAAAGTCTTTCAAACTTTTTTTATTTATTATTATAGCCCATAGAGTAAAGGTTTTAAGAGCAGTATTTTTACCAAAAAACAACAACAACAAAAAACTTCACCCTAAATTTAACATTTAATGTAATGTTGTGATTAGTAATCATTTTAGAGTTTGAATATTCTGATTATTTGATTTTATAACTGCCACCTCAATGGAAACTATATATTTATTTTTTTAATTAAAATGTAATTAAATTAAATTAATTTTGAGAATTTTTCTGTAATATTGGACTCTTCCTTACAGAGTCTGAAAGCCATGATAAATAATCACTGAACTTTTTATTTTAAACACAAGATGCAGTTAGTTACCTTTATTTCATAAGTCATAATAAGAAAAATGTATAGTTAAAGAATAATCCATAAGTCTTACGAGTTTTTACCTGTCTTGCTATCATGGAGAGCAATTTTCCCCCATCTCTATACCAATTTACTAGCAGTTAACTCAGGAAAAAATGTAATGAGTTTATAATACATGTAACAAAGTTGTAACTGTTTTCAATCACTAATTTCTTTTCAGTAAGAAATGCTAAACTTTTCTAGCCATGAGACACTGGAGGCAAATCTGGGCAGGAAATTTATTAAAGGAGTGGTTTATAACAAGTGATTTGATTTTTTTTTTTTTTTTGTATTTGAAACAATAACAAAATTATATTTTTTTGTTTCTTACCTTTAAGATATTAGAAACTTAAAAACACAGAGTGCAAACACTTTAAGAAGACATATTCTTGTATTACAATCAGAACATCTATAGTCTTTAAAATAAATTAATATTTAATAGGAGAAGCTATCACTTTTTGTGTTGTTTCTCCACCCTCCTTTCCCCTTACATATTTTAAGCTGGATTACTGTGCAAGCTTGAAGAATCTTGAAACCATTTCTAACAAACAAAACTACAAATTTATACAGGTATGAAAGTTTCTTATAATAATATACTTATTATACTATGCTTCTTCAGTTATTCAGACATCATATCTTTCTTCTTTAAAAACTTATGTCATATGGACTTGGAAAGCATGCTAGTAAAAGACCTTTTAGTTTCCAGAAGTACTGCATGCTATAGAGAATACTATTCTAGATCGACACTACATATAACGTTACTTGTGATTTTTTGATGTGTTGGAGGATCATTATGAGTAGCGGCTTGAACTTACATGGTTTGTGATTTTTAGCCCCTCACAGTCCTTTTTAATAAGACCTTGCTGGGATTTTAAAAGATTGGTATAAAGTAGGGTGTTACTTAGGCCAGCCTATAGCCAAAGAGCACACCATACAAACCTGTAGGGGATAGCCTTCTTCCATGAAAGTTGATTGATTTGCTCTGGGACACTGATTTTTACTAGCCACTCTCAAAAGAGTCCTAAGTATAAACCAGAGAACCAGGTCATTAATTTGCAAAGGAAAATTTTAATGCCAAATGCAGCTATTTATCTTATGGTTTATGTGGAGTTTTTTTTTTTTTAGTGATTCTAGAAACTCTCTTTTTAATCACAAATATTAAAGAATATACTGAGCAAACATTTCATAATTCTGTTCTATATGGAAGTGTTTTCTTTGGTCACCAAAGAATTACTGAGAATACTTTTTTTAGAACTAACTATACATACAACATCAAAAGTACTCATAAGTTTACTTAGTTGTGATTAAATACATCTTCAAAATGTCATTCCAATAGTAATACTTACTTTTAAGATATTTCAATAATGGTTTTCTCAAACTTGTGAAAATATGTTTAAAATATTTCCTATTAACATAGTGACCTTAGGTTGGCAACAATGCTATGAAAAAAACCTAGTACAGTCCTTAGTAGTAGTTAGTGCTCAATAAAATATTATTTTAGACACTTATTTGCAAAAGTATTTTATGTCTTTATTACATTTTATATTTATATCCCATGATGCCCCAAAAAAATACATCATTCATTACTGTAGTTACTTGACCCCTCAGTTGAATTTTTAAGATATTCTCTATTAAACTGGGGAGGGGAGAATTAATTCTTCTTTTATCATTTTGTTGTTGTTCATACAGTAAAATGGCTTTTATGAATGGCAATGCTCAATGAAACTTTGCTTTTTTATATAGGGTGACATATGTGATTCTCACTTTGTGAAACTGCTTTTTGAAACAGAGAAAATAGATATAGTGCTACATTTTGCTGCACAAACACATGTAGGTAAGTATTGTTTTATGTTACAGATAAGATGGGCAAATTATTTTCTCCAGTGGTTGATTATCCTAAATCAAAGTCCATTAATGGGGTTGAACAAGTAGGTACTTAATATGTGTCTTTGAGAGCATAGACCATGCTCTACCAGAAAAACAAGACAGTAGTCACTGTCATCAAGATAATTGACGCTTTTCAGGTCACTGTTATTAGTGTAGGTCATTTTAAAACTATGAGTTTAACTAAATTCAGCATAGTTTACCTCTGGGGAGATGGTCATTCAAACTGTATTTTTTATGTTTTTTTGAAACTGGGTATTGAATACACATTTGAACATTATATTATTTCTACTGTTTTGTCCATCTGAGATTCTTCTAATAATTTTTCTAACATTTTATATTGTGAAATATAAGAATTCAGAAGTAAAATTAAATGAATACTGATACTGTGAATACCCAGGTAGCCATCTCCTAAACAAAAGATAGAATGTTGCTGAGTCCTCTATAGTTGTAGTATTCTGTTTTAATCTGATTTTAACATTTTAATTTCCCTTGGTTTTCTCGTCAGTTTTGCTGTCTATTTATTTATCCCTAAACAGTTTAGGTTAGTTTTACCTGTTTTTAAAATTTTATAAAATAACATAGATTTTTTTTGGTCTTGCTTTTTCATCCATATAGATTCATCCATGTAGTTGGGTGTAGGTGTAATTTGTTCATTTTCAGTAACATAAAATATTCCATGTTAAGTATACACCATAATTTGTGTATCGATTTTACTCTTGATGAACATTTGGATTGTTTACACTTTGGGCAGTTTTGAACAATATCACCGTGAACATTCTTACACTTGTATCTTGGTACACATAAGTATACATTTCTAAGTATATATTTTTCTCAGTATAACTAGAATTGTAAGATCTGCACACTTCAACACTGAACTGTTTTCTAAAGTAATTGTATCCATTTCACCCCTCCAGCAGTGTAAGAGACCTGTTGCTCCAGATCTCACCAAAGCTTTGTCAGACTTTTTCATTTTTGTCAGTCTGAGTAGTGTGCAGCAGTATCTCATTGTGATTTTAATTTGTATGTCCCTGATTACTAATGAAGTTGTGTACTTTTTATATGTTTATTGGTACTTAAGATTTCTTATTTTGTAAAATGTTGTTGAAATCTTTTGCTTTTTTAAAAACTGGGTTATTTACCCTTTTCTCATTAATTTGTAGCAGTTTTATATATCTTCTGGATACTAGTCCTTTGTTATGTGTATTATAACAATCTTCCACTCTGTGGTTTATCTTTTCATGTTTGGTTGATGAACAGATGTTCTTAAATTTTATATAGTTGAATTTATATAGCTTTTTCTTTATGTTATGGTGAATGGTTTTGGGGTCTTAAAGAAATTCTCTTTTGGCTCAAGGTTATGAAGATAATTTCCTGTACTATGTTTGAAAAGTTTTATAGTTTTCTCTTTTGCATTTAGATTTGTAATCCATCTGAAATAGATATTTGTATGCAATATGAGATAGGAGTCTAATTTTATTTTTTTCCACTTGAATGCCAATTGGACCTCTACTGCTAGTGAAAATGTTCACCATTTTCCATTGTCCTGCCATATATCAAGTATCCTTATATAAGTATCTGTTTCTTGAGTCTTCATTTGTCTTATTTGTCTATAGCTGTGCTGATTATATGGTTTACTTGCTAATACAGTGCATTTATATCTGGTAGAGCAAATTCTACTTGTTTAATGATAAAGCAGTTGTATAGTTCTTCCAGAAAGTATGAGATGCTTATCAATGTTTGCTATTGTCAGTCTTTTAAATTTACCACACAAGGTATATTTAGAAGAGTCTAGTTTATTTATTTTTTTTTATCCTCACCCGAGGACATTTTTTTTCCATTTTTTGTTCAGACACAGTGAGAGAGAGAGAGAGGAAGAGAGAGAGAGAGAAACATAGATGTGAAAGGGACACATCGAGTGGCTGCCACGAGCATGACCAACCAGGGCCACCAGGGCCGGGGACAAACTGCAACTGAGGCGCGTGCCCTTAGTGGGAACCAAACCTGGGTCTCTCTGGACCGCAGGCCAACGCTCTAACCACTGAGCCAAACTGGCCAGGGCCAGAAGGGTCTAGTTTTTATCTCTGTCCTTCTCACTAAGTGTCTAGTTTTTTAAAATATGTTTTTATTGATTTTTGTAGAGAGAGAGGAAGAGAGAGAGACATCGATGTGAGAGAGAAATGTTGATCCGCTGCTTCCCACAGGCCCCTTCCTGGGGATGGAGCCCACAACCCAGGCATGTGCCCTGAATCGAACAGGGACCTCTCAGTCCATGGGATGATGCTCAGGCTACTGAGCCTCACCAGCCAGCATAAGAGTCTAGTTTTTATCCCTGTCCTCTCCACTGTCCCCTATAGATCACTTTATATGCTTTAATTTACAGTTTATCTTTCATTTACAAAAAAAGATACAGTTACTGCCCTTCTTAGAGAAATGGTAGCCTACTATACACATCTTTCTCCATCTTTTTATATACTACAGTATATCTAGGAGATCATTCTGTAACAGAATATAAAGATATTGCTTTTTTTTTTTTTAATTTTCAGGGTACTTCATTGTGTGGATGTACCATAATAGGGCTTATTTCCTACATTTTGCTTTTTTAAAACAGTGCTGTAGTGGATGGCTCTGTGCCTGTCTCTTTTAGTCTATTTGTCAATTAATGTTGGGAGATATTTCTAGAAGTAGGATTGCAGGACATATTAATTTTACTAGTGCTGCCATAAAACAACAGAAATTTATTTTCTCATGGTTTTGGGGGCTGGAAGTCCAAGATTAAGGTGCCAGTGCTTTTTTTTTTTTTTTTTTTTTTTTTTTTTAGGCTTCCCGCCTTGGATTGCAGATAGCCACCTCTTACCGTGGTCTTACGTGGTTTCTGTGTGTCCTAGTTTCTCTTTTTGTGTCCAAGTTTCTTCTTTTTTTAAAAAATATTTTTTCTTTATTGATTTTAGAGAGAGGAAATGAGAGGGAGAGAGAGATAGAAACATTGATGAGCGAGAACATTAATTGGCTGCCTCCTGCATGCCTCCCACTGGGGATCTGGCCCACAACCTGGGCATGTGTCCTGACGGGGAATTGCGACCTCTTCATGCATGGGTCAGTGCTCTACCACTGAACCACACTGGCTGGGCCAAATTTCTTCTTCTTTTAAAGATACCAGTCATATGCTTTGGCCAGTTTGGCTGAGCAGTTAGAGCGTCATCCCATGGCCCAATAAGTCTCAGGTTCAATTCTGGTCAAGGGCGCGACCTTGGTTGTGGTTTGTCCCTGGCCCTGGTGGGGTTGTACAGGAGGCAACCGGTCAATGTTTCTCTCTCTGTCTCTCCGTCCTACTCTATCTGAAGATAAAATGGAAAAAAATATCCTCAAGTGAGGATAAAAAAAATAAATCAGTAAAAATAAAGTCACCAGTCATATTGCCCTAGGGCTCACCCTAATGGTCTTATTTTAACTTAATCACCTCTTTAAAGGCCCCAGGCCTGCGATTTTCAACCTTTTTCTTCGCATAACACACAAACTAATGACTAAAATTCTGTGGCATACTGAAAAATATATTTTTGATCCAATCACACCAGACGGCTATTGTGTTGGCTGTTGTCTCTCTTTTTTTAATTTGACAATCTAAGGCAAAAGTGCCCCTGACCAAATAGTCAGATATTGCATTTTGTTTTGCGTGTGTGTGTTTGTGTGTGTGTGTGTTTTAATAACTATGACACACTCTGATGAATTGGAATATGTAGTTAAGTATGTAGCTTAGACTTTAAAAAGAAATAAACTCAGAAACATTCTTTCTGTCTTATTCCATCCAATATATCTGTCAGTCCTATTGGTTCTATTTTCAAAATACATCCAGAATTAAACCTCTTCTCCCCAATTTTCACTTTACTGCTACTGCTGTGTCCAAGCTGCCATCACCTTTTAGTGGTTACTGCAATACGCCTATCAGGCGTCTGTGCTTCTCTATCTGTCTCTATCTGTCCTCCACATTCTGTTCTCAGTACTGCAGTCGGAGTGAACTTTTGAAATCAGTTATGCAGTGCCTCTGCTCAAACCCTGCAGTGCCCAAGCCCCTGTGGTAGTCCACAGGGCTCTGCATTGATCAGTTCCCCAACCCCTACCTCTCACTGGTCCACTCACAGTTTATTTTTCTGTTCCCTGTTTCTTTTTTCTTTTAATTTTTATTGTAGATAGAATTACAGATGTCCACCATTTTCCCCCATTGCCTCCCTCTGCCAGGTTCCTGCCTCACCCCAGGCCTTCATTACACTGTTGTCTGTATCCATTGGTTATGCATATATGCATATAAGTTCTTTGGTTAAGCTCTTCCTGCCTCCTACCCCCTTCCCTATGAGATTTGTCAGTGTGGTCTGTGCTTCCATGCCTCTGGACCTATTTTGTTTGTCAATTTATTGTGTTCATTAGATTCCACATCGAAGTGAGATCATGTGATACTTGTCTTTCTCTGACTGGCTTAATTTGCTTAGCATAATACTCTCCAGGTCCCCCCATGTCGTTTCTAAGGATAAGAGATCTTTCTTTCTTTCTTTTTTTTTTTTTTTCTCTTCACCCGAGGACATTTTTCCATTTTTTGTTCAGGTAGAGTGGGAGGGAGAGAGAGGAACAGAGAGAGAGAGAGAAACATCGATGTGAAAGGAACACATCGAGTAGCTGCCACCCGCACAACCGACCAGGGCCGGGGACAAACTGTAACCGAGGTACGCGCCCTTAGCGGGAACCGAACCCGGGTCTCTCAGGACCACAGGCCGACGCTCTAACCGCTGAACCAAACCGGCCAGGGCGAGATCTTTCTTTCTTACAGCCCCATACCATTCCATTATGTATATGTACCACAGCTTTTTAATCTACTCATGTATTGATGGACACTTGGCTGTTTCCAGATCCTAGGTATTGTAAATAGTGCTGCTGTGAATATGGGGGCACATATATTCT